GTCTCTCTGAATATAACCCCATTCAGATGGCAGGGTTCATGCCTTCCCTTCGTCAGTGAGATCCACTGAGGTAAGCTGAGGCAGTACAACAGTGGCTGTCAACCTGAGATTCTGCCAAATACAAAAAAAAAAAAAATGTTATGGAGGGGTGTCCTGAATGTAAAAAGGTTGAGGACCATGGTCTAGCCTAAAAGAATGAGTATGTAACAAAGGACTTTGTCTCTACCAGAGTGGAATAAAAAGTAGCATTGGTATAATTCTTTCCTCAGAGTCATTAATGGGAAAGTACCCTATATCTACAGGAATGTTGCTGGAAGTGTGAGCTATTAGCTAAGACATAACTTGAAAGCACTGGGCAGTTGCTGGCATGTAGAATCCCAAAACACTTTTCACAAGAGTGGAGGTGTTAGATCCAGTTTCTTCACTAAGTTTCCCTTTATTCTCTAAGTCCCCCATGCAGTTTCACTTAGACTTGCAGAACTCAGTTTTTTGTGTGCTGTTAAACAGTTGCCAACTTTCAACCCAAAAGTGAGAGAAGGGGTTCCTAGATAGAATTGCATTCATTGTGTATAATAATTTGGAATGGCATGATTGTATTGTTGTAAGGTATTATTTGTCATGAGCATGAAACACGTTCAGCATTTTATTTATTTCCAGTAGCTGGTGCTTCAGTTATTTGTAAAAACTTTTTTTAGTCTCCCTCTTTATCACTGTTTTAAGTGCACATTCAGGGTCATAAAGAATGGTATAAATATTGCTAAGATAAGCTGCTCTAAAAGGAGGCCTTTAGTTTCATGTTAGCTCTGCTTCTCTTTTGATCTTGTTTTGATCATTACTGGATAATTTCAATAACACTGTAATTGGCACAGTTGTACAGTTTTCTGGAAGGCAAGTGCTCATGTTTTAGATTGATCCTCATAGGCTTACTGGAAGTAAGTTTGTGAACAAAAGACTATAACTGAGTCTTATTATGAATAAGAACATTGCCAAGAACTTTGTCCCTTGATGTATCCAATAATATCCCCACATAAAATAAATTTTTCCCACCTTCTAGCTGATTTGCCTGACTTTAAATTATTTCTGGGTAGAGTTGCTTCACAGTTTTCTTCACAATTCACAGTTAACTCAATTTATACCCCTACAACTTTTAGGCACACTCATTCACACAAAAAGAGCTAGCTCTTCAGGTCAGAGGTTGTCTCCTGGTTTTGTCCATTATCTAGTAGCAATGGAAACTTATTTTTTATTGGATCCATGGGTCATATTGCGGTTTAAACTCTAAATAATAACGAATACTGATATTAATGTGCAAATGCTTATGGTTGTGCAAAGTTAGGCTTTTGATTTGTCAAACATATACATTTTTTCAGGCACATTTATAAAACTCCTTTGAAAATTTGGCGTTTGAAGTACATGTTTACTCCTAGTGAATAATAAAATAATTTTCTCAACTTTTCTATAATTTATACTTTGAAAGAAGATTATGGACAAATGCTTTAGAGTTAATACATATAGTCTATGAGACTACCAGATTAATGGAATTTCATGCAGCTTTTGTATCCAATAAACTTTTTACATGTATCTTTTGTTAACAGACAAGAAAAAATATGTATAAATAATGGAAAAGTTGGGAACTAAATAATCAGATGTGCTGGAAAACTAGCAATTGTACACATTTTCAGTGTAGTGATCTAAAGTCCAGTTCACTGTGTGAACTGCTTCAACTCAGCTTTAGTAAATATTTATCGACCTGTACTAATGTCTGCAGTCCTGCTAAAATCTCAGAATTACCTGAATTTAAGGGTCCTAGTCAAACCTTTTGCATAGACCTACTGGCAATTTTATAATCGTTTAATGGTATTTGATCATCCTTGCAAACTTATATTGTATGGGAGAAACAGCTCTTTTGAAAATATTATTTAAGAGAAAGAGTAGACTATTTCCCTGGAGAAATTTAAGTTTGGACTCTTCCATTTTAGAGTGTTTTACTTTAAGCATATATAAGAACTAAACAGCTTCTTTGACCCACTTAATTTATCATGTAAATACAGTACATATTTGTGAGATTTTGTGCTGAAAGTATTAATTGTTTGCAGTATAATATAAAATTTGTGTGAAACATAATTACTGTGTCAAGTCAATCAATTCAATAAATAGCAATTCAAGCTTTTAGGAATGTGTATTTAAAAAAATTAGGAGTTATTAGAAAGTATTTTACACCAAAATATTTGCCAAATTTTTGCAACAGGGTGGAAATATAGATGAACAACTAATGAATTTCTTCAGTTATCTTTTTCACCTCTTTTACAAATTACAAAAATTGCACTTAATAGAGTGGTAGAAAAAGTAACTTATGAATTCAATGAAACTTTGCTAAGTTTTCATGCAGAGAGAACTTTTATGAATATATTTGTACACATCTAATTTTGGGGTTATCAAGTCCCATGAGGACTTTTACACATGCATAACTTGTGACCCATGCTCTTCAAGCTAATGAAATGGCTTATAAGGTAAAGATAAGCATATGCTTGAGGCAGAATCAATAAGAGGCCAATGAAAAAAATATTCATTTTTTATATTACATAAGTACATCACTAATAAGGGAGCAGTAAGAGAAAGCACTAATATGTTGTTTATGACTGATGGCCTACATAAGCAGCCTATTTTTTTTACAGAGCATAACACCTGTAATTCAAGTTCAGAAACATAGCACATTATCATTAATGAGCATTACAAAAAGGAGGGCAAAAACTGAAACATTATTCCTTTGGTGTGGATAAGAATCTAAACCGAAGAGAGTGATCATTTATATATCTTGCCACTTATAAGGAAACATATATGAAATTAATAGAGTACAGTGAAACAGTTAAAAAAGATGTGGTTCATTGCTGAACACCAATGCTACATTTGATTGTGAAGTTGTTAGCTTTTTTGGATATTAGGTGCAAAAAGTGCAAAGAATATTCAGTCAACTATTACAGTATCACATTACAAAAACTAACTTCTGGGGCAGAAATCCCCTTTTCTGATTTACTTTATATTAAGAGAAATGGATAGTCAAAATAGTTTTTATTCTCTAGGCATATACCTACTTATTAAAATCAGCTTGGCACAAAGCACTGTGAAAACTTCCAAACCCAGACAGAAGACCCCAGGATGGTGATAAAAAGAAATAAATTATAGTTTATTCTCTGACTTAAAAGAAGTTACTCACCTGGGCAAGTGGATGAGTAGAATTTTGCAAGGCTGTTGTGTATATATAATTATTAAAATACAATTTTGAGAGTTGTTATTCTCTGGGACAAAAGAACCAAAATCTTTCTAGGGAAAATGTTTGTTTAGGACTTATTAAAGGTGAACTTCAAGGATTTTTTTTTTAAACTTGGCTTTGTTTGTTTTTGTAATTACTTTAGATAAGATGTTTGCCTTAGAAATCTCTCAAATGTCAAGTCAAGCCTTTCCCAGTTTTGATGGAGGACTTGACGCATATCTCAGTGCATATTTATTTTGAATTATTGCATCTTAATTAAATGGCTGGAGGTGGTGGAACTTCAGACATAACTTGTGTTTATCTAAAATGTTACTCATTAAAGTAAAATAGGTATTAACAAAAGCAGTCGAATCAAAAAGGTTAAAACTTCCTTCCCTGTTACCATTTTTGTGACTTCTGTGATGTCATAATTTGCAAGTTTTCCCATCCTATTAGGGTCTTCCTGTATAGACAGGAAATAGACATTCCTAATGTAAAAAACACAAACCTTTCTGATTTATTTACACATCATAAAAAAATAGGGAACAACTTTGATTATTTTTCCATTGAAGTTCACATTTAAAGTCCAGGGTCCAATCCTGCAGTCTTTTTAACATCTCTACTCAGAAAAAAACAATTGCCTCACCAAGGTAAATGGGAATTTTCTCTAGAATTGGATCAATACTGAAAAATAGCATCATGCAGTTTTAAAACTAACTCACTTTAACTGAGATCTTTTTGAGTTTATTTTCATTGAATAGTCTAATAATTGATTTTACAGGAAGTAATGTTCCTGAAGTAGTAAGATTTAAGTTTGTACCACCATATATTGACAGAAAGCATAATCGAAGTCTTTTATGTGGAAACCTGCATATACATGGATTCACCCAATCAGGAAATACAAACCATACTATGTGAGTTATGTGTCCTGTCAAAATAGTTGGTTAACAAATACTACATTGTTGGTACAAACTTCTTGTGAATGAATGACAAACCAAGAATCAAAGTTACGTGAGGCATAACAATGATTAATGTTATGTAGAAACATATACTAGGTAAAAATAATGTTTGTAGAAAATATGTAATAGGTAAAAAATAATGAAATATATTATTCATTTTACATTATTATCTCAGCTACAGTTTTCCCTGAGTAAAGACTGTATAAGGACTGCATGATTTACCCCACCAAAAATTAGACCATGCTTTTCTCACTAGATACATGCAGTAAGCAGATACCTTGTACAGGGTCATAGTGACTTCACTGGGACTTAACATGGCTGTCAATATGGCCTGCAGAGTTAGACCAAGATGCACTGGCAAGGGGTAAGTCCTGCCTACTTGTGTCCTTCCCCAACATGTCCAAATCTGCAAATTAGGCACAAGCATCTACTCCCAGGCATGGAAAGGTGGGGTTTCTCTCTCAGCATCACTCCTTGGCTAACTGTGCAGACATGACTACTACAGATGCATCTGTTGACCACAGAGTCCCATTATGGTCAATAGGGTCTTGGATTGTTGTAAGGTTCCAACTGCATATTTTCATTTACAGATCAAGTCAACAGGTCTTGAAAGCCCAATGAAGCCAACAGGAGCTTTTCTATTGACTTGGGTGGGCTTTGAATCAATCTCACAGTAAACAAAGTAAAATAAAAAGAAATAATAGGAAAAAACTGACGTGATGTGGTTAGAATTGTTTTTTCCAGCACATCAAGTGCCAAATGCTTTCTTTAATAGTCATAATAGTGCTTAGTGCAAAATTTATCATTTAGAGGCAAATTACAAAGTAAGCGCTGTGTGTGACAATCTGTTACCTTAAAAGGAACAGCATCCTAAGTTGCGTTTTCTTTGAAGTTCTGAATAGTTTCTCAGATTTACTTGTTTATGCAAAGATATAGGTCATATCAAAATACTACTTAAATTGGCAGATACATGTCAGAGAGACTGTTTGTCAAAGGAAGGACTGTTTTGGCTCAATTTAACTTCATTCATAAGTTAAGAAATTATTACAAACTGTAATATAAGACTTAGAATAGGAAAATGTATTTTAATACAAAAATATGGATACAGTTCATTTGCGGAAGCCAAACCTTCTGTTACTGTAGGTATGAGCTACATGGGAGCTTGGCCACTGGACGTGGTGAATCCTTTTCTTGTGCCCTAGGGTGTAGGAGGTGGTTTTGGTGATGAGCAAGACCCCTGGCTATCAAAACTGGTTGCTCGGCCAGGTAACTGGAAGAAAAGTTTTAGTTTTACAAATATCATCAGATTTGCCCATTCAGCACGATCATTTCTGAGGATGAGAGAATCATAAGGATCCTCTCCAAAGGAAAGGGCTGAATCAGAATAATACTCCACCATTTTTTTTCTGTTAGATAAACAAAACATGCTTTCAGAAAAAGAAATTTAAGCTAAGTTTGTGTGGTCCATGCCAGCCTTTCCTGAAGAAGGAACCGAGGGAAAGAAAGGTTAGAGGGGAAACTCCTAAGGGGCTCTTTCCATGTGGAGGCAGTCTGCTTCACCATCTAGTGAGCTGCAGTTCTGCTTCAACCCCTTCCTATAGCCCAGTGTATTCAGAGGAAGTTAGGGACCTCCAAGCAGAGAGCCATTTGCTGTTGTGGCACCAGATTCATATTTGTCACACATTTCCTGAGACTTCAGCTCCACTGGGGCCATCATTCAGGGCTCTCCCCAGTTGCCACTTCTTTGGTATTTTTCTTTAAGACTGAGTTCCACAACACAGAGCCACAAAAGAGTTAATGCTTTAAAGTTGCATCAGCTCTCAACCTGGCATGTCTGTAAAGTTAAACAGAAGGGAAAGGGTGCATAGTGCCCCCAATCTTGGTCTGCTGCCATATCACCATAATTTACTTTATGACCCACTGCAATCCTAATTAAGATAGCATACATGTAATGAAGGCAGGACATGAAAGGGTAGACTGAAGGCGTATTTCTTGAAAAAATCCAGGAAGCTGCACACATCATTTTCCATGCATTAAGATAAGAAGGTTCAAATAAATGACTGTTTTAGTATCTCTGTATGTGGCTACAGAGCTGTAGCCCCATGTCAATATCATCAATAGCACAGTCTGAATTCAATATATTTTAGCTACACAGCCCCAAATATTGCTAAAGACCTTAAATAGAAAATGACTGCCCTTGAAATGTTTACAGCTACCACTTCAAAGTGATTTTTAAGGAACTCTTGATAATATAAAAATAAACATGACGTAGTATGTAAAAATATTGTAAGGACCTTTATGTCAAAACCTTGACAGCAGGGAGGCAATCTCTGAAATAAAGTATCTGGATCAAAAGTAACCCTTCCCCCGCCCCCATATATGGGACCTCACTGAAAAGAACAGCAAAAGCTAATACATGTGAGCTGTGTCATGTATTTTTTGTGACAGTCCATTACTCAGGGAAAATTCGCTATGCAGGCATAAGAACGGTCAGCTCTTACTCAGGTAAGTGCAGGACAGCTGAGCAGGTAAGACCCTCTCCCCAAACTCAGAATTAACTGGTCATCTTGGTCTGCCCCGAAGCAGACTCTCATTCCAGACTTAGTCATGGGCCACTTCAACAGCACATGGGGGGAACACTGGCATCCTTGTTTGGCCATTCAGTTGATTGTCCCACACATGCAACTCAAATTTAACTTCTCATCCACTCCACATGAGGAGTGAAATTCACAACATAGTGACTTCCAATATTCTCAAAAGCTCTGAGAAATATAAACGCAGAGAGACATAGTGGCAATTTCACTATAGAGATACTCTTTTTCTTACCTCTACTAGTGGATGCCAGTGAGTTATTGGTTTACGGGGATAAGCCAGCATTTCATTCCAGTGATCTCTTCCAAGTCCTTCAGCTTCAATTCCTGTCCTACACACCCCAATCACCTCATTGTGCCCTACTCTGAGGATTAAAAAAGGACAAATAATGTTTTAGAAATGTAAATAGATGTATTAACATCTTTGTAGTTGTTTGGTTCAGTACAAATGTTAAGATGCTCAAAGTGTATGTATCATTAGCACCCAAAAGCATGGGTTAGGGTGCAGATGCCATTTTTACAAAAGATACAACACTACAGATGGGGAATAACATGCAAAAAATAACCATGGTTTTAAGTAGCAAGTTTGTTAATAATGTGTATTTTTATTGTGTTTGAAGTGTGAGGAGACAAAAGGTAGGAATGGGAGGAATGAGGCTTCATGCATGCTCCAGGAGTTATTTTAAAATATATGTTTCAGGTAGTCAGTTTTAACAACTAGAACCTTATGTGTAGAAATATGATGGGATAATATAGACTTCTTATCAAAACAAACCAGAGGTATTCACATAAAAATATATATCTTGATATATATCCACCAACACAGAATGACTTTGGGCAAGTAATTTCCTCTCTCTTTTTCTTAGTTCCCCTCTCTATATAACAGGGTAATTATATTTACCTTCCTCTTTGAGATCAACAGACAAAGGCTCATATAAAAGGACTGAATGGCAAAATTCACTGTATCATTGTTTCTCAGAAGACTAGACTCTACATCTTTTACAGTCAATGGGGAAACATTCATTGACAAAAATTGGAGCAGGTTCAACAATTAAATGCTGTCAAAATGTTATAGTATTAAATTATTTTACTGCTATAATTTTGAATCTCTCTCAAGCCCAAGTCTATTAGTATGTATGGGTAAAGTCAGATCAAGCATGATTCTACTAGTCCACCTCTAATCTGATCAGTACCACCCACACTATTTTTGTCTTGGGGATGGGTTTAAAAATAGATCTTCTCCCTTGCACTAAACATTTTGGAAAAGGATAGAATGGAGCAGACCTTTGCCCATAGCAGAACACAGATGAGTGACATGATATTGAGTTATCTTCTACCTTCCTGTGAAGATACCTCTGTAGAAATGGACCTGGGGATTACACTGGAAAGTAAGATGAATATGAGCTAACAGTGTGCCCTTGTTGTGAAGAAAGCTAACAGCATATTGGACGGTATTTGTAGGAGTGTTGCCAGCAGATTGAGGGAAACGATTATTCTCCTCTTTTCAGCACTGGTGAGGCCACATCTGGAGTGCTGTGTCCAGTTTTGGGCACCCCACTGCAGAAAGGATGTGGACAACTTGGAGAGAGTCCAGTGCAGGGCAACAAAAATGGTCAGGGGGCTGGGGCACATGATTTCTGAGGAGAAGCTGAGGGAGCTGGGTTTATTTAGCTTAGAAAAGAGAAGACTAAGGGGGGACTTAATAGCAGCCTTTAACTACCTGAAGGGGGGGAGTCCAAAGAGGATAGACCTAGACTGTTCTCAGTGGGCATGTCCAGACGAGCACAGGCGTGTGGTATGTGGCACCACAGACCCATCTGTAGTGCCGTACACCGCATGTGCCACAGATACAGGTGTTCCCCACACTGCTAATTTTCAGTGCTGGGCAGTGGGAGGGGGTGGGGGTTGACACTGGGAGACCCCAGTGTCAAAAAACTTAATGCCTTAAAAAAGTGAGGCGGCACACATGGTGGCAGTGTGTGCAGCCCCAAACCGGAGCCTGGCTGGCTGGAGCCATGCTCTGGCTGCCAGCCAGGCTCCATGTTAATGGATCACCGTGGCTACAGACCCTGGAGGCCCTCAGGAGCCCAGGTGTTGGCCCCAGCCTCCCCTACCCCACTCGGGGTACTGTGCTGCATGCTAGAACCTGTGTGGATGGGAGTTTCCTGGGGACGAGCAACAACAGCACATATTGTTCCACTGCTGTTTGTCTCTGGGAAAATGCATGTTCTTGCTCATGGGAATGTGCAACAAGGAGCAGTGCTCTCCAGTTGTTGTAAGGGAAGTTTAGGTTAGTTATTAGGAAAATCTGTCTCACAAGGAGGATAATAAAGCATTGGAACAAGCTATCCAGAGAGGTTGTACTATCTCCATCCCTTGACCTAGGTAGACAGAGCCTTGGATGGGATGATGTAGTTAAGGATGGCCCTACTTCGAGTTGGACTAGATGACGTCCTGAGTTCCTTTGCAACCCTTATTTTCTATGCTTATATGATAAAGTGGTCAGGGTCATTGTAACTGGCCAGGGGTAATTAGCTTTCTAGATGCACTATGATAGTAAAAATGTCTCTATTGTTTGCGTTCAGGGACTAAGTCAGTTAGAAGCTGCAGCAGAATTATAAACCTCTTACACATGGTCCAGCCACCACAGAAGGGACAAAAATGTACACTGCTAAAGTGGGTTGCATTTACATGAAAGATTTCAGTCATGTTTGTGTATTCTTCAGATTGGTTTTTTTGATACCAATGGGATTAAATTGCAAGAGGCAAGGATGTTTGAGACTCATGCAACGAGTCACAAGCTATATTTTATTGAGACTGAATGTAACTGAATTACCAGGGAATTAAAAAAAAAGTCACTTGCAATGATCGGGTAATGACTTGCACAAGATTAATATTTTCAGACAGTAAACTGTGCTTACCGATCGTAATCCATCACAGCAATGGAGAGGCTGACCTGATCCACATTTTCTGGAGGGATGTCAAAGATGATGGCCTCATTATAAACTGGATTGAGTGTGTTTCTCTTTGTGGTTGTTTTCCGTTTTTTCAGTCTTCTCCCCTCACACATCAGTGATACTTTGACATATGGATCTGAGTAACAGGAAGTTGGTTTTATGTAGATAAAATATTGCATAAAAGAGCCGTGAGGTCTCTGAAAGTAAATGCTAATGACTACCTATGTTCATCAACATGGTCTTAGTGGCACAAGGTAACCAGAACTGTTTCCTCTGCATTCTCCACATCCTGCCTACTCAAAATAGAGCAAGGAGACAAAACAGACACACCATTCATAGAAATACAGGAAATAGATCTAAGGTTTATGTCTGCCTTAATCAGTTCTCTTGAAAATTGTATGTGGTAACTATCCACATGAAAAGTAGGATTTGCAAGTAGGATATTTTCAAAAGTTAAAAAGGCAATTAGGTACCTAAACCATACTGACAGTCAAGGGAGCTTGAAAACACTTGAAAAGTGCTTCAAAATGGGTTTTCAATGCTTTAATTTTTTTTATATTATTCTCTTCTCCCTTTGATATGATTTAATCAGGACTGATAAGTCCTCATAAAAGGAAAAGCAAAAATGTAATACAAACAGTTTGTGAATTAATACAATTAAAAAAAGTATATAGTTTTAGATTAATTATATGGAGCATTACATACACTATATATACAAGTTTTTAATGCTTTCCCAACATGGTATCTTTTAAAGATCAAATCTATTCTGAAGGATGGCTCCAGTAAATGAGATCGTTTGTCTCTCAGTGCTTTTCATACTGAGTTTTAATATATGACTTAAAGCAACCCAAAGAACAAACAAAAAACTCCACCAGTCCTATATTCTCAGGTTTTCTATAGCATATATCATCACAGTAATAGAAGTGGTGATAACAAAATTATACCTTTTGTTTCATGTGTACAAACTGTTGTCTTCAGCCTATGCTCTCTGTGATAACTACTACCTTCAACAAATTTGCTGTGATAATTTGGAACTTAGGAAACTATTGGGATGATGGTGCACAAGTTGAATGAGACTCTTCATTTCACTTTTTCTTAGCAATGTCTTCTTTGCACAGCTAACACAAAGAAAATAGTGTAACCTGCTCTCACATTTTTGTCACCAGCATGAGCAGATGTAATTACATGTATATCAATACTTATAATTTGAATATGTAGTTGAATAAGAAATTGCCATTTTTACATAGCCATGTTTCAGAACAGAAGTCTGCACTGTGAATGAAGAGGAAGAATACGCACCTGAAGAGCCAGTAATGTCCATGGCCTTGAGATTTCTACATTTGATGACTGTTAATGTCATTCTCCCAGCAGTGGGTAAATAACAAAGGGAAAACATGATTTCACCCAAATCTATGCTTTCCTGAAAAGGGGGGAAAAAGGTGGTTAGGACTTTGTTATGCATTCCAACAGTTCAAACATCCCAAAATGTTATAAAAATTCTAAGTGTGACTAAATGAACCTATTTTTGGAGATGTTCCAGCCTTAGATATTTGTAAAAAGATTATATACAAGCTACTTCAATGGAGATTTATGCAAAACATGAAAAAACAGAAATGCAACAATATTTTAGTGACAGACTTTTGAGTTGCTAGACTGAAGGTTTAAACCCAAGGATAACCGCAGAACTCTTGAGCTTGTTCGCAGCTGGCAGGACAGGGTGTCGGATTCATAGTCAAGTACACAAGATACTGCACTGTAAAATCTTTATATGCCACAAAAGAAAAATGCTAAATTCAGTTCTGGGTGGTACTCAACATTCTACCTTTCCAACCTATAAAAAAGTGTTGAGATAGCAAGTCTAATGTGTGTACCCATATATTTCGGCCCTTTTCACAAAGGTATTAAAAACCTGAGTATGTGCACATGCGCACGCGTGCATGAATGATTCACTTTTACTTTGTAAGAGGATAGAAGAGGTCATTGTCTTTGTGAAACATGGTAACAGGAGTTGCTTTACCATTCCCTTTGTGGGTGTTTGACTGTGGAGATGGAAGGAAAGAATGAGAAAATTAGCAATATTGCTCTTACTATCTCCCACATGCCTGGAAAGAAAAGAGGGTTTAGGAAGTACCATACTGTGCCAGATGGACTAAGGCCAAATGAAATGTCTTCTTCTGAAAGTTAAATATCACTACATAAAATATATATATATTTTATATAGGAGGGACATAGGTTATTAATAGGACTAGGATTTAACATAGCAGTGGGGTAGAGCCAAAAAATATGACTTCTAAGAAGCAAAGTATAAACATGAAAAAAGGAGAAATAAATGTATGGGTTCTATTTCTCACTTCTGTCTATAGCATTTTCTCTAGTAAGCAAATAGATTTACCAGGTGGTCAGGTAGATAGAGTTATCACTCAACCCTAGTAAGAACAAAGCCCTCTAAGGCCACATCCAGATGAGCAGAGGCATATGCTTGCAAGCAACACAAATAGTAGTGGCACAAATTCGTGCTGCTACTTTGTACTGCCATGTCCAGCTCCTCCTGGCTCCTGGCTAGGCTCCACATCTATCAGGGAGGGCTGGCCAGCGCACAGAGTGCCTCAGTGTGGGGCTACCCAGCAGGCAGCCTCCGCACTGAGGCACCCTGCATGCCAGCCAACTGGGGAGTGGCATGAGGAGATGGGCAGGTGGCCCTGGGCTGCCTGCTGCCCGGTCTCTTTATTTGTCCAGGTGCACTCTACTTTTGCATGTCTTGCCCTGCTTTTTTTTATTGGGGCTTTTTTTTGATACTGGGAAATCCTGGTAACAAATTTTGCCACCATGCTGCTGATTAGTAGTGAGGCATGCAATATAACATGAACTGTGTGTGGTCTGTGGCACCACAAAGAGGCTTGTGGTGCCACAAACAACAAGTGTCTGCATGTGTGGTTTAAAATCTAACTGTTTAAAATCTTAAAGCTCAGAAATGTAAAACAGGAAGTTTTATATTAAAAATGAAAGCTCAGATCCTTAAAAGATATATAGGTGCCTAATGCCCACTGAAATAAAAATGAGGTATGTGTCCACTCCAGTACTTACTGAAGACAGTGGCTACTTAATCTTTATAAATGTTTGTTATTACAGCAAGTTCCCTTAGTAGATCATTTATGGAAAAGCAGCCATTGTCCTAGAGATGAACTTTTTTTAATAATAAGCCAAATTATTAGGGGCCAGAGTGAAATCTTTCATTTTTGAGGAGTTGGTCACATAAGTAGCTTTATTGATGTCCACAGGTCTTAAAAAATGTTCTTAAATTTAGACATATACTTTACTGCTGTCTTGAATAAAAACAGATTTAACCACATATTTTAGTATGTTACTTAGTCTGAATTGAAAATTGTAGGTTTTGGAATAGTTTTACCTTTCTATCGTATCCATCATAGGTTCTTCAGTTTCACACGTCAGTTTATGGACAGTAATTTTATTTTGGGATTTTATTCTGAGAATCAATAGGCTGCTATGCATGTTCATACCCACAACAGGCAATTTTCATTACATGAAGGTTTCCAAGGATTTTGGAATGGATTTTACACCATTTGATCCTCACCTGATGAACTTGGCTCACCAATTTCTTTTCACAGCTCTTACCTTTTGACATATGGACAAATGTTTCTTTTTTCCTCACAGTTCTACTTACAGTCTGAAACACAGACTGAAATGGCGCTGGGATCCCAGGTGGTAGTAACATGGATCTTTTTGGCTTTTTCAGGATATTTCTTTAAAAATCATAATTCAAGTGAAGATAAGATATTTTGCCTTTTTGATGTCTAATTGTTAGTTTGCTAGACTATCACTAGAATTATCTATACAGTAAAATAATAGCAATGCAAACATATGGAGATGTAACTGATGTTATAATGCCAGAATGAGGACAATATAGTATTACAGTACAAGTTATGGTACACTAGAAGCAGACATATTGAGGTTAATTTTACTTTCCAAATAGTAGCTAGTTTCAGTGGTTGCATGGGCAAATAGAGATCCACTTGACTGTGGGTTAGAGCTTTGGGTGGGATTTTTCTGCTCTGAAAGTTACTGTTTTTTTTTTAGAGGTGGTGGGTTGAGTGTAGTTGAGTGGAGAAGAGCTCAGTTTTCATGAGATGGGTGTATCACATTGAATGTACATGTAATATAAAAGACAAAATTATTTGGGTAGTAAGAGCTGTGGATAGTGTCAGCTATCAAGGAGGAATACCCATATACATTTATTCATATTACGTATACATACATACAACAGTGCAAACTCTGCCACTGTATTTTGGCTATTTATGTGCCCTCTAGTAATAGTTCTAATCACAGTAGTTCTTAGTATAGGAAAATTCCATTTAAAGGAAATTGGTAGTGTATGAAAAGCAAAATAACACATAGTAGATTATTAGCAAGGCTTATTGTTTCTGTCCTTTTTTATGTGTCCTACATATGACAAACACAATACAATGATAATTTTCTATACAAAAGAAATGTAACAGGCTATTTTACAATATCAAATCAAGCTGCAGCTATTGTTTGGCCTGGGTTCCCTGTTACTGTGTCCCGTGTTACTCTTTGGCCTAAATAAATAAAAAGACCAAACTGAAAGGCACCATATTGTGAATCTCTCAATAAATTTAAATGGAAAAAGCAAAGACCTATGAATTTCAGCCATAGGTAAAAACATACGGGAAACAAGGTACTGCAATAATAGCTCTCACAGCTTGAAATTCACCTTTAGTTTACATCATTTGTGCACTTCTAAGAAAAGAGTACAAGCCTGTTCGGGGCTATAGATGGTTGTACAAAAGGCCAAGAATAGGAAGAGCATGTAAACTGATTTTTAAATATTATTTTGAAAACTTTTTTCACCTCTACATAAAAGAAAAAAAGAGAAAAATACAGCCTAGGATATTAGTATTCAAATCACTTGAACATAAAAATGTTATGAAAAATGTGCTCCAGTAGTTATAGAATGCTTGACATCAAAGCAAATTTTGAAAGTTTCAACATAATCAGAGAAAATGAGAAAATTTTTTTTTTATGTTGTTTTCAGAAGAAGAAAGAAAAATGGCAAGCCATTTTTAATGTGGCTATACTTTGGAATAGGCTTAACAAGTAAGATTAATGAATGTGTTAGATTCATATAAATGCTACTAGCACAAGTTGAATGTATGCTGAAAGAGGCTGCAATATTACTGTCAACTTCAGAAAATTGGACAAAAGTGTGTTAAGAATCACTAGATAAGTTCAAAGCAACAAGGATGTTTTCAAGGATAATTTATATGGATGCAGGATGTCACAAATGCCAGAAGACTTAGAACATTAGTAGAGAAAATACATGTATACTCAACAGAACAAAGAAGCAAAAGTTTATGAAAGGCTATATAGAAGAATCCAAAATAAACAAGAGTGTAGAAGGATTGGCTGACATACAGAGCCATGAATTGTTAATTTCACAAAGGTTATGACATCAAAAGAACATCCAGAACAGAGGGTTAATCATGGAACCAGAAACAAGAGCATTGGCCCTCTGGGTACCTGAAAAACTATATGATGAAAGAACTATTAATGAAAGAACTAGAGTTCAAGTCACTAAGATGCACAGGTCAGATAGTACCTGTGATGTGAAGGTCAGACATGGCAGGAACTGGTGATATTTGAAAAGAAAAGTTCTTATTGAAGAGATCCGTAGACCCTTTGGAACTGCTTCAGTGCCTTTTTCATTATTTCCTACAATACTGAGCAAATTATCAAGGATTCATGAATGATTGACGATGATGATGATGATGGTGATTATGTAATTCCAGGCTTGAATCATCTTTTTCTTTCCTTTATATTTCACATACTGATGATATATTGAAAATGACTTTGAAAACCTGTCATTCAAACGTTGTACACTCAACCGATACATTTGAATTCTTTGTGAAATATGCAGGTTGCCTTGCATATGAAGATAAAATGCTGTTCCTAGCCAAACTATGCTGCATTCCATATACTTCAAAAATAAAATAGAAGGAAAGCTGAGAAGCTTAGAAAGCATGGATATGACAGAAAAAGTAGGTTATTCAGAGTTAGTTTATTCCATTCCATAGTAACCTTATTCTGATTTGATGAGAACAATGAGGAAATTCAGGCACTTATCCAACAGAAGACAGCCGAATTCTGCGGTTGGCAAAAATGAGAGGCTTACCACCAGCTCAAAGCTGTAGTTCAGAGGAGGCTATGGGACATCAAAAGCCAGTGGCAGCAAGCGATGGCCATGGAAATCCAGAGTTTTGCTAACCAGTATGAGATGAGAAGCTTCTTTCAAGCAATAAAAGCCATTCATGGACCATATTCCAATGGCCCAACCACCTTGTGATCCCTTTTCAGGGATAACGTATCCATCAAGCAATGCTGGAT